CTGCTAGCGCAGATAGCTCTCGTGTAGCTTTGCGCGAAATTCAAAACAAACAAACAAACACGTCCAACATTTGGAAATCAAAAGATATTTCCAATAAACTATGAAATACTCCAAGCTTTCACTAACCACATTTTTTTTTATCTAGTAGGGAGAAACGTGAAGGCAATTAATATTGGACCACTGATTTGATACATTTAACGTTTTCTTTTCTCATCTTAAGCTAGAGTAAAAACACAGGAAATTTCTATTAATAGGTACAACCTGAACCATTATTAGTGCATTTCTTTCCCAATATGCAATTAACCTCGATCAACCAACCGATCCTTTTAAGTACGTTGATATTTTGTTTTGACAAGGATTAAACATTAATTTCACACATTGCTAACCTTGTTGAAAAAAGTAACAGAATATTTGATAGCTATAATTTAACATTATTTTCTCCACGGTTCATTGTCAAGGTCCAGATCACCTCGTACAGGTATTAGACATGTCAAAAACGTGTAGTTTCCTATAGAGTCATTACACTCTTCGAGACTTGATACTGCTAACAGTATTATTCGAATCCTCACCTCCGTACCGTTATCTCCACGAAATCTTTAACCTGAAAAAATCTTTATAACACATACAACCAACCAAGTGTATCGTGTTATTGTTATTATTTTGATAACAGAAACAAACCCTGGTAATAACAAGCTAGTTCTCAGTGAAAGGAATCTGGGTCAAGAGAAAAAGACCAATCATAAGTTGCGCATGTCTGGCTTCGTATGCAAGTCTAAAACTTTGGATCATCGTACAGCCATGTACAGACCTAGTTTAAATAGTCTCTTTTACCTGTAGGTCTTCCAAGCATTTACCATGTTTATCGACGCCGTCTATATCCGGCTTCTTCTCGTTACGCTTTTGTATACAGGTAGGTAAGCATTCAAACGTTATTTCTTTGCTACTGAATATGCATTTAACTTCTGAAAATAACCAATGTTTTACGTAAGCTTTTATACGACAGTTGGTTTAATATGAAATTATATCATTCTG